GTCTATTCGCCACCCCGATCAGTCCACAAGCACTTAATTAGACAACCCGCAACATTTTCAGAAAGGACTTTAAACTTCTTAAAAGGTTTCAAAAGCTTCAGATTTTTCTTTTAGGAAATAAACCCATATATTTTTGCTCTAATAAATAATGAAGCTAATGAACTAGTGTTTACCTCCATTAGATGTAGGATATTGGACCACATATATCCGAGTACACCAACTCTAGCACCTTCTTTGCTCTCCACGACTTGCTTGCTGGAAATGGTTCACGGTGTTGCTTGCTAACAACACAATCTTCAAAGACTTCATTTGGAGATTCAATCTTTGAAAGACCCAATACCAATTATTTTTGCTTTAAAAACTTTAAGCTCTCAAAATTTAAATGTCCATAACGAAAATGCCACTTCCAGGCATTTTCTTTCATTTTTGCAAAAAGACAAGATTTTATGGAGTTGTGAAGATATAAAGGAAACAATCGATTTAACGACATGCTAATCTGAGCGATTAACCCCAAAGGAGGATTTCGTATCTTACAAACTCCACATTTGATATTAAGTTCATATCCCTTTTCTTGAAGCTGCCCAACACTCAATAAATTTGTCTTCAATGCAGAGAAAATAAAAGACCTCACCTATGGTATGAATCGAGTTGTTTTTGGTTAAGACTTGTACCTTTCCTTTACCCATGGCAGAGACCACTTAATTATCTCCAAATCTCACGGTGTCTTGAAAACTTTCATCCAACTCTGAGAATGCCTCTTTCTGCCCACACATATGATTACTGCAACCGGTATCGAGATACTATAAATGAGTACTGGAAACTTCTCGTTGGAAGTATATGTCATCAAAAGTGAAACTTCCTCTTCTTCTTCCTTCGTTTCCCCATCTTCCTTTGATTCTGCAAAGTTAGATCTACCCCCACGATTCCTATTTAAATTGAAATGACATTCAGATCGATAGTGTCCAAATCAATGGCATCGATATCATTCAACTTGAGACTTATCTCGTCTTTTTTCCTTTTCCATAGAATCACCAGAACTACTCCTCTCCTTTTTATGGTGCAATTTTTTTCCTTTTCATTTGGCTTTCACCTGATTTGTTCCTTTCGATGATAACACTGCCTTCAATTCTACTTCATCCTTGTCTTGTAGATTTATTTTCTGCTCATGAACCAACAAGGATCCCTGCAACTCGTCAATAGAAAGAGTGCTAATATATTTGGATTTTTAAATTGAGTAAACAATATAGTTGAACTTTGTCGTCATTGAGCAAAGTATTTTCTCAACAATGGTAACATCCTCAAAAATTTCGCCATGAATTCACATTTTATTTGCGATAGTCAACTTCCTAGAGAAATAATCTGATACCGATTCACCAACTTGCATACGCAAAGCCTTGAACTCACCACATAGTGCTTGAAGCTACACTCTCTTTGCCTTCGTTGCTCCTTGAGACTTCTTCTTCATGGAATCCAATATTTATTTAGAAGTATCTTTGCAAAGAATTATTTCCAGTATTGAACGATCAATAGTCTAAAAACGGTAATTATTTGCTTTGAGATCATTTAACCTTGGACTATCCAACTCTGCCTTTTGTGCTTCCGATAAGACAATACATGTTGCTGGCCCTTGCACGCCAATACTAACAACATGTCAAAACTCTTTGGATCTAAGGAAGTTCTCCATCAACATGCTCCAATGGTCATAATGACCATCGAAGCGCGGAATAACATCCTGAACAAAGCTTTCAGAAGCCATCTTTTACTGCTGCAAATAGTACTCCAAAAAAGAAAAAAACTTTCTGGCTCGGATATCAAATGACATAAATCAACAACAGTAAATTGAAAATAAAAGACTCTGCAAATGCGGAAGTTTTCTCTGTATAGAAGCTTAACAAAATGCTTTGTTACAAGAGTCTTAAATAGATGAAAAACTAGTAAACAAATGAGCACATTTAATTTCCTAGAAAATCTTACTCCACTATTCCTAATTGCTGAAGACTGGGAAACAACTTATTTGACTCCTAAACAAATGCAACAACTAAACGACTACTCCATAAACCTAACTCCCAACAAATTTGTGTCCTACATGTATTATGGCACATATGACTCATGTGTCTACTCATTCAACTTTATATAAGTTTAAGTATCTATTTGTGCAAGCCCAAAATTGAAGTGCATAAATATGAATGAGGTCAAGTTAAAGGGTATATCTATTATACTATATAGAAGAGTCATGAGAAGGACGACCACTGGCATTTTAGTAATTTTAACATTATTTAAGGGCAAAATAATAATTGTATAATTAATGACCAAAATGAAAATCTAGAAGAATCCATACATGTCTTTACTTTTGAAATTGGTCCATAAAGATATTTTTGTAATTGTGTTAAAATGAAGAGTTTCTATTGGTTAACTTTTTACAAACAATAATAAATGCACAGCTTGTTTTGACATGTTTTTGAAAGAAAATTTTGAACTAATTTAAAATAAATGTGTTTGAATAGCTAATATTTTGTTCCTAAAAATACTTTAAAAGATTATTGCGTAAACATATTTTTAATATTATGTTACATAATATGACCACTAAATTCGTATCTTGATTATTAAAATAATCTTTAAAATGACGTATCAATATTTTTTAATTAATTTGAAGAAATATCAAATTCCGTGACTAAAAGAATGAACAATGTTTGACTATTAAGAAATTAATAATTTGATAATGTATTCATCAAAAGATTAAAAAAATATAAAATTTTCATTTCAATATAGGATATTTTCTTAATATCAATTATGATAAACTATTTAACAGGGAAAAGTTTTGACAAGGAAAAAATTTAATATTCAAATTCTAAGAAACATTAAAATACAAACTAAAGAAAAATGCGTAGTTAAAAAATAATTTAAAAAAATGAAAATGTCAATAGAAAAGGACTTGAGAAATATAGAGGAAGGAAAAAACTAAAAAATAAATAAATTAAAGAAAAATAACTTGAAAAATAAAAACAAGTATATTGGTTATTTTGTGGGGGTAAGATTAGAGTTTTCTTTTACGACATGTGTAGTATCAAAAAAATTATTAATGTAATTTAGAATATAACATTACAATAATTGTTATCGTATATAGAAATAAAATTGCTTTCATGATTGTTTTTATTTTTGTGGAGTTAGATTTCAATTTCTTAATAAATACTTTCAATATTTACAATATACCATTATGATAATTGTTATTGTATATAGAAATACAATTGATTTCATGATTGTTTTTATTGTTGTGGAAGTTAGAAATCATTTTTTTAATAAATACTTTCAATATTAAAATCAAAATAAATAGAAGTATTTCTATTATCAAAGACATTAATAAAATGTATCACAAAATTCATCGACAAAGCAAACTATAAACACATTATACTTAAGTTGAAGCAATATATATAGATTTGAAAGGCTTTGAATCGATCTTTACAAATTGGTTGATCAATGATTAGTATTTTATCAGATGCAAAGCTTATGGTGCAAATATTACAAAAACAAGATGATAACATTGTAGAAAATAGATACCACTTGCGAAAATATACGAAGACCGATGAACTCTTTCAATGATATCAACATTATATATATTTCTCGAACACGAAATGTTTTAACTCATAATCTAACGCAATATTCCATTACCTTGCTGCATAGAATTTTTTGGTATTCAACTTTCTCAATTTGGATTGTAAATGACGTATTTATGTCGTATGAACATTTGAAAAATATTATTAATATATTAAGTTGTTTACTGAAAAAAATAGTATAAACTATAAAGTATAGAAATCTCATATATTTGGAGGCTAATTACATCATATCCCAGAAGTTTCCTCAATTACAAAAATCTCGAATTTTTCATTGCTCTCGAATACATTCATTGGTTGCCCGATACATTGCAAATAATATATATAACTTCATGGGAGGGATATATCCAAGAGGGGATAGGTATGTATCCGAGAGGGAGTGGATGTATCCGAGAGGAATAAGGATATATCCGAGAGGGAATTATGAAATCTTAAATTGCATATTTATATAATTTTTTCCAAAAAAAATATGTGAAATTATATTGAGCCCGTATTACGGGCCTTAAATTATCTAGTATTTATATATTATGCCTATTTAAAATCATAATAAAAGTTAGCTAAACTTTTTAGTTTGTTGGTTCTAAACTAAATCCCCCACCCCAAAACAAATAACTTTAATATATATTAGTATATAATAAGTCTGAGAGAGATAAAGCATGCAAAAATATATTACTTACAATCCAACCTGGAAAAATAGAAACTCAATCAAGTAAAAACGAAATAGAAAACTTGGCTAAATATATGTGACTGCCAATTGTTTATCACTTCTGAGTTATAAAGTCAATACTCCTTCCGTTTAAAAAAGAATGGCCTCCTTTCCTTTTTAAATTTGTTTGAAATAGAATGAATTTTTTTTTGGTAACATTTTCATTTTAGATTTCCACATGACATGTTTAAGGCCACAAAATTAAAGGGTAATTTAGTACATTTGATATAATTTTAATTTAGGACCACAAGATTCAAAAGTCTTCTTTATTTTTTAAGACTTCGTGCCAAGTCAAACTAGATCACTCTTTTTGAAACGGAAGGAGTAATATTTTCTGAAAAATTTTCCAAACCAATTAATTGTTGCTTTGGAAAGTGACTGCCATTCATTAGAAAAAGAAAAAAAAAAACACAACTAACACCCAAAAAGTATTCCACATACAAATTATTGTGTTTCCTTTAGTGGCCCACAAACAACTAGCAAAAGAAGACTTGTGCCAAAACCTTGAGAAGACTTTGCCATTCATTAGAAAAAGAACAAAAAACACAACTAACACCCAAAAAGCATCCTACATTCAAATTATTGTGTTTCCTGTAGTGGTCCATAAACAACTAGCAGAAGAAGACTTGTGCCAAAACCTTGAGAAGACTTTGGTAAAGGAGGAAAAAGACGAAGCAAACGCAACAATGGCTGACCCTGTAATTGGTGCTACAGTTCAAGTTTTGCTTGAAAAGCTGCTTTCTCTCACTATTGAGAAAGTCAGTAGCTCAAGGGATTGCAACAAACATCTCAGAATGATGACACAAAATGTATCCATCATTCAAGCTTTCATTCATGATGCTCAAAGACGACAAGTTGATGACGATCAGGCTGTGGGAAAATGGCTCATGATGCTTGAGAGAGTTACTGAAGATGCTGAAAATGTGCTTGATGAATTCACATATGAATCTCTCAAAGCACAAGTCCGAAACAGTCCAATAAGAAAGGTCAGTGGATTCTTTTCTCATCCTGCTTTTATAAGCAAAATAACTGGAAAAATCAAAAACATAAATGAAGAGTTGAGGGCTATCAATCAGTTAGCCAAAGACCTCGGTCTCCAATCACTCATAGTTCCTTCTCAGCAAATAGTACCGATGATTCGAGAAACAGATTCCTTAGTAGTTGCTTCGGATGTTGTTGGTAGAGACAAGGATGTTGCTGAAATTAAGGAGAAGATGTTGAACATGAGAGAGGAAGTTGTACTATGCGCCATTCCCATAGTGGGCATGGGGGGTTTAGGGAAAACTACTATTGCTAAGAGAATTTTCAATGATGAAGAGATCGAAAGACACTTTGAAAAGAGAGTTTGGTTGTGTCTACCTGAAATGTCAGACACTAAGAGCTTTCTTGAACAGATCCTCCAGTCATTGACACAGAGGAAACTTGAGGTCCAAACCAGGGATATAATAGTGAAGAAACTCCAAGATGAACTAGGAGGAAAAAGATATTTGCTTGTATTAGATGATTTGTGGCGTGTTGACCTTCCAGTGTGGGACGAGTTCATGGACAGCTTGAGAGGAATAAACACTTCCAGAGGAAACTGCATTCTTGTGACAACTCGTATGAAAGTTGTGGCATCCACAGTAGCAGCAGTAGGTCCCCATATGTTGGAAAAATTAGCGAAAGATCATTGTTGGTCGATTTTCAAACAAAGAGCATTTGTTGATGGGGCAGTTCCGGAGGAAATAGTGAGCGTGAAGAACAGAATTGTTGAAATGTGTCAAGGTCTACCGTTGGCAGCAAGTGTGTTGGGAGGCCTCTTGCGCAACAAGGAGAAACATGAATGGCGGTCTATTCTTGATGGAAACCCCCTTGTTGCTGGTGAAGATGATAATGGAGAAAATAGCTTAAAGAAAATCCTAAAACTCAGTTATGTTTATCTACCATCACCATATCTAAAAAAATGTTTTGCTTACTTTGCAATGTTTCCAAAAGATTTTATGTTTGAAAAGGACCAACTTATCCAACTCTGGATGGCAGAAGGGTTTCTCCATCCATATCAAGAGACCACCGTGATGGAAAACGTTGGGCACAAGTTTTTCCAAATCTTGTTGCGAAATTCCTTGCTGCAAGATGTTGAGCTAGATGAGCACAACAATATAAAATACTGTAAGATGCACGATCTTGTGCATGATTTGGCTGGAGATATCTTAAAATCTAAACAATTTGATCCGAAGGGCAATGATGGAGAAAAGCTTTCTCAAGTTCGATACTTTGGATGGGTCTCACCAAGTGATAAAATGGATATGATAAATGAGCCAGGACGTTTGTGCACATTGTTCTGGAAAAGTAATATATCTGATGATATGCTATTGAGGTTTCAGTTCTTGAGAGTCTTAAATTTGTCCCAATCAGGCATCAAGGAGTTGTCAGCCAAAATCAGCAAGCTAATATACTTGAGATATCTTGATCTCTCCGACACTAAGATCATAGCCTTGCCCAACTCCATTTGCAAGCTCTACAATTTGCAAACACTTAGAGTCAAAAACTGTTATTCATTCTGGAAGTTTCCAGAAGAAATGGCAAATATGAGAAGTTTGAGACACATATATCGCAACCTTCATCATTACCTAGTACCTATTCACATGCCACTTAATATGGGGCAATTGACTAGTCTTCAGACGCTACCGTTTTTCAATGTAGGTTTAAAGAAGGGTCATCGAATAGAAGAATTAGGTCGTTTGAAAAACCTTAGAGGTGAATTGACGATATATAGTCTCCAATTAGTCAGAAATAAAGATGAGGCTCGAACAGCATATTTACAGGAGAAACCAAATATCTATAGGCTGGCATATTTCTGGTCCCATAATGAATCAGAAGGCTGTGAGATCAATCATGAGCATGTGTTGGATGGTCTTCAACCACATTCTAACTTGAAAACCTTAGAAGTGGAGAACTATTTCGGGACTATATTTCCTTCATGGTTCAGTGAAGGATTCCTACCAAATTTGGTCAAGTTGAAATTTAGTGGTTGCAAAAGGTGCAAAGAAATTCCATCGCTTGGCCAACTGAAGTTCCTTCGGCATCTTCAGCTGATAGGATTCCTTGAATTGGAATGCATCGGACCTACATTTTATGGTGTTGAGATAAATGATAATGGATCAAGCAGCAATAATGGCAATATCCATGTGTTCCCGTCATTGACAGAACTAGTATTGGAGAATATGCGTAGCCTTATTGAGTGGAAGGGAGATGAAGTTGGAGTAAGAATGTTTCCTAGGCTTGAGAAGTTGACGATTACAAACTGTCCACTGTTAAAAAGTACTCCAACTCAATTTGAAATCCTGCGTGAATTAAAAATCAAAAGAGTTGACAGTGAATTGCCATTGTTGAACTTGTGTAGCAACTTAACATCTCTTGTGGATCTTTTTGTTGATCACGTGAAAGAGCTCACTTGTATACCCGATGAGATGCTACGCAACAACGTTTCTCTTCAATTCCTATCAGTCTCAGAATGTGGAGAGTTTCGTGAATTGCCACAAAGCTTGTACAATCTTAAGAAGTTGCAAATATACGACTGCCCCAATTTAACTTCTGTTCCTGTTCCCAGTGGAGAGAATTATTTCAGTTCTCTAGAGGTTTTGTCTGTCAAGCGTTGTGAGAACTTGGTTTCCTTGCCTTTACATGTGGGGGAAATGCCTTCACTTTCCTATTTGGATATATCAGAATGTCCCAAATTGATTAGTTTACCCTCAGGGGGCCTTCACCATCTCACTGGGTTAACGGGTCTGGGAATCGGTCCTTTCTCAGAGATGGTGGATTTTGAGGCATTCCAATTGATTTTTAATGGCATTCAGCAGCTGTTGTCCCTTCGTAGATTGAACTTGTGGGGACACTTGCACTGGGATTCTCTGCCCTATCAACTTATGCAACTCTCTTCCCTAACAGGCATCCATATATATGATTTCGGAATCGAGGCTCTTCCTCATAGATTTGGCAACCTTACTTCTCTTGGATCATTGGACTTACGAGGTGCAAACGGCTACGACATGTGGACTTCTCAGATGCCATGCCCAAATTACGGTATCTGTCCATGTATGATTGTCCATTGTTAGAAGCTCTGTCGGATGGGCTCGGCAACCTTGCTTCTTTGGAACATGTAACTTTGGAGAACTGCAAAAAACTAGAGCGTCTGCCATCCAGAGATTCCATGCGACGCCTCACCAATTTAAGGTGCCTCGACATTTATGGCTGCCCACGGTTAGAAGAAAGTTGCACCAATAGGAGTGGCCCAAACTCCCAGTGGTCCAACATTTCCCATATTCCACAAATTCAACTAGACGGTCGGCAAATTCTGGATGGACGTAAGTCTCTGTTTCTCTTTCACTTTCTGAGTCGATTTTCTAAATATTGTTTTCCATGAGTTCCAGAGAAAAAAGCTTTGTATGTAATTTAATTTTTCTTTCCTGCAATTATTTTTACATTAAAAATGCAAAACTATTCAATCAATTGCATTTGTGCAATGCTTTCAGCATTATGCTTGTCCACTTGAACCGAATATGCTTTTTTTCCTTATAGGTTACTAGTTCCAAGGTCATGCTAGAACGGCTAGAACGTCGATGTGGTAAATCAAGCCAAATCCCATGAGCGGAAGGCAAGTACATTAGGTAAATTTTTATTTAGAATTTATCGGCACTTTGTAATCTACTCGTTTTTGTTGGGAACCGATTTTCAAAGGGGTTTATGTTGATGAATACAATATTACCTTCCTTAAAAAAGTTTAATCATGAAAATTTATGTTTCTGCTCATAGGTTACTAGATACAAGGCCACGTAAAACGTCGTTATGATATATCAAGTCAAAATCCATGGGCAGCAATCACGTTAGGTATTTTTATTTAGTTGTTAGAGGACTGCTATGACAAGTGTGTCAAGTTCTTTATTTGCCTTCCTTTTCTCTCATGAAACAATTTTACTGTTTAACACTGTTTGTTATGTTTCACAGAGGAACCACCACTTTTATTTTGTATGACGAACAGAATCTTCAGTTGTAGACTCATCGCGAAACAGTTTCATGAGTATTTGGGTACTGAACAACCTTTTCGGGGAACTGAAGTCTACATATGAAACATCAAATCACTCAAAGTATACAGGGTGCTCAATGAGAAGCTACACGAGTCTTTCCATGGCCGTGTTTGCCTTTTTATTCTCCATGTAAGTTTCTGCAATTTTATTTGATGAATAAAGTCTGATATCTACTCTCATCAAGACTTGGTATTTAACTTCTATGAAATTGTGGAACTGTTAGAATGTAAGTTGTTAGTTTGGTGTTTCACTCAATATAATCTGTTAGATGATAGGTATGTTTATCGCATTCTCACAGTATTAATGTCTGACTCCTCCCCTCTCCCAACATGTACGAAATAAGAAGAATCTCAGTATATGCCATATCTATTCAGGTTCTATGAAGAAGAGAGTGAATGATCAGGCACCATTGAAATCTGTTTATGAGGTATCAGATTGGCACATTTTGCTTCAGTGGTGATTGTGGCTGCAGGAAAATTGAAAGTTCAAGGTAAGTTCCTTGTCTCATGGTTTTAGTGACTTTGCTTTCTAAGCTTTTAAATGTTCCACTTGGTGATGCATTACATGTGTCAAGCCTACTAGGATATTATGTCTACGTTTATGCATATTTCCTCATACTTAGTACTTTCACTGTACTAATGCATACTTGTGCCTATATTGTTTCATAATATAGGATCCGACATTCCTCCTCCCGCTCGTGGCTAGATTCAGATTGCGATTCGCTATTGGATTGGTGAGTCTTCATACTCCGAGGGAAAATCCATGAAGACCATTTATCGCTTTTATTGTTTACTCTTGAGAATTTGTACGTGGTGAACGGGTTACTTCCCTACCACTCTTATTTTATTATGTGTTATAATGGTTTGTCAAGACATAGTCATGATTTCGCTTAGGAGATGTCTTAAACTCTTTTATTGTATATTATATTGTATTGTATGTACATCAAGTGGTTGTGTAGGCCCTCTCAGGATCATATACGTCATGTGGTGTCTAGGGTATACTTTGGATTGTGACACTAGGCGACCTGAGATTGGAGTTGGTTTGAGCTTGGAGTGTTGTACTGATTACTTGGCAGTGGACGTTGTTCCACGGTGGTTTTGATGATGGTTAACAGTAGATCCTTCGACAACTCTTTCTAGTCATAGATTAAAGGTCTGGTCATGTTGCTCATGATCCTCTACAGAGTTGATCCCTACTATTCGTCGATTAAAGGTCTGGCCTTATCATCTAGTCGACACACTTATGGCTACGGCCTATTAAGTCCTAACGCCCAGGGAGATTCATCCGCGTTTTGAGGTCCGGGCTCTGTACGCTTTAGATGGGCGGCTCTTGTTGGTTACTTGAAGGTCATTCGCGGTTAGAGTTTTTTATTTCTGTGACTAAAAATAACTAACAATATAAAAGTGAGAGTCCTAAAGTACTACGAAATTGGATATCAAAATGTTCATAAAAGATTGAATGATTACTCTTTAAACTCAATTTAATTCTTATAATGATTCCTATGACGGTGAGTAATTTAAATTAATAAAAAAATATTAAATTGTCCTTTACTTTGGATACAAAGAAAGTAGATTCATTGAATTAGAATCAACCTATTTTTTGAGTTTCAAAACTAGCATTGTCATAGTACATATATTATATATAATGCAAAATTTGTATCAATTCTACCGTTTAAACTTTTAACTCTTTAATTAGTTTTCCAATTGCTCCATCAACCTTTTCATTTACATATAATTGAAGATCAAGTTCTAATTAAAGTCAACATTATACTAAACACATATTTTCGTTCTATTCTTGATTATTCCAAACATTACACCATGGAATTGCTAGCTCATAAAATTAATGGGAAGATTTTTTAAAAAAAATCATGCAGCAAACATACAATAATGTAAAAAATAATTGCACAGTATATAGTTATTCCATTTTTTTTTAAACAAAAATTGTTTTATTCTACTTCAAGAACCTTTTTCTTTTAGTGTGTGTGTGTGGTGAGGGGGGGGGGGGGGGGGGGGGATGCATGCAGATTTTATGTTTTATACCTCATAAAACAAAATTACCATAATTACGATCGTGTGACTAATTATTTGATTGTTGACTTTATAGGTTTGAACAATATTCAATTATATTGAGTTTAAACTATTCTATGTCATCATTTTAGATTTTATCGTTCCTTAAGAAATTAGGTAAGTTTATTATTGTACTCTTATTTAGTGTTCTTTTGAAGTCAAGTTTTTTTCATAAATGAAACATAAATTAATTATTTCGATTAATTAAATTAACCAATGAACATGAATTAATTATTTAGTTTTATTATGTTAGTCAAATTCATACTTTCAAGACTCATAATTCTTAGGGGTAAAATAAGAAGAATAGTATTATTTATATATTGATTTTGTGAAATAACAAGTATTAAGGACCATCTATTTTAAGTGAGAACAACTTATAAATAGCAATGGAGAAAGTAGTATTTTAGTAAAGGAGAGAGGGGTTGACTACATGTATATCTAATGCAATAGCTTTGAAGCAAGCTTTTCTTGATCATCTTTCGAAGTTCTAAATAATATATTGATCAAAGATTGTAAAAACGGACTATTCTAATGCAACCATACCATTATCGTCACTATCCAATTACATTTATCATTTGCAGAAATTTGTAATTTAGTTTTGTTACTTCAAAACATGTTTTACTTAATAACATATATGGTTATTTAAAATTTTATACCAAATGAAATTGAATTTACATATAGGAAAAAAAAAAAAACTTGTACTAATATCAATGGTAGCTATTATGATCTAATAAGTATATGGTTTTGTAGCATGGTAGTCAAAGCCGACCTTAGCTCAGTTGGTAGAGCGGAAGACTGTAGTGGTACTGCTGAAATCTTTAGGTCGCTGGTTCGAATCCGGCAGGTCGGATTTTTTTTTTTCCATTTTAAAAAAAATTCTCTTATATGAATATATTATCATCAAAGAAATATCTCATTGCTATTTTCATCAACAAAAAAATATATATATCAATTTGTAATTGATTTGTTTGTTTCGACTTGTACGATAACTAAATAAGCAAGCCCGTGCTTTGCACGGACCCAACACAATTAATTATGTACCCAAGTTATTTTAGAATCTTCATTTACTCGTTACTTAGATCATAGTTACAAACTTGTTTACAAAAATTGAAAAGTTAAAAACTAAATGCCTATCCGCCTTGATATGAAACTATTTCTATCTGGAATCTTGGATAAATGTGGACCAAGATGTGCTGCCATGCCAATTGAAGTAGTCCGTAAAATGTTATTGTCGAGAGTATTCCTACTACACTTTAGTCATAATTCTACGGATTCTTCTTGTTTACCATGGTGCAATTCTTGAACTTGGTGCAACCATCTTTGCTCTAGATTACAAAGACACCTGCAGTGGAAGACAATGGGACAACACTTAGGCCAGATCTATGTATATATTCTATGCCTTCTGAAATTATAACTAACAAGGTGACAAACTATCAATTGTGATTTTCCTAGAAATAATAGTAGTAAGAATGTTACGTTTTCTCCTAAGCAGTGACAAATAACACAACACGTGGTTCAAATGAGTCTTTATCTTCATTTCCTAAGATATACCTGAGATTTATTTGTCTGATAAAGGCATATCAAGTGCTCAAGAGTCTCATATCATTCAAAATTAAACGGCTTTATTCCCCTCTAATTTCTATTATATCGAATGTAATTCAAATTTTTACTCTTAGAAGAATTCACAACTATCGAACGTAATTCAAATTATTGCTCCTAGAATAATTCAACTGGCCGCAAGAAGAGTTTAGATGTTAGCATCATCTACTTGCATCTCAACATAACTACACATAATTGTTATTTCGGGTAACCAGTGCCAAGATCATTCACATCCCCGACATGAGCATCAATTTTCAAACATGATATATGTTATCTTACAAATAAATTTGTTGATATTTAAGCATGCCATAACATTCTAACCCAAAATTTTCAAATAGCTTGATGGAACCTACCTTGGAGAACTGTTGCACATCATTTGTTGGCATTGAGGTAGACCAAATGCTTAAAGACTTTAGAAAAATCAACTCCTGCAGCACACAAATAAAAATTCATATGATAACAAAAGATAGAAGGGCATATACAAACAGGAGCCGTATATACACTCAATGCAATATTTGTTGAAAGTATAACACTCAAGCATACGACACCCATTAATCGCTCAATACCAAAAGTTTGATATTTAATCAAGCCACTTTCATCTGATTTCAGTTTACCTTTAGATTGTACCCTAATAAATCACTGGATTGATTGAGATCAAAGTCCACAGATCCTGCATATTTACATATTCTCCGGGTCACCTTCATCATCATGTTTACATAGGGCAAGATGTTTTGGCTAGTATTGGTAAAAAAAAAAAACATAAAGGAACTAAGGGTCAAGATAAGTACAAAAATTAAAAGAAAGGCCAAAGTAAGGTGCAAACAGGAGTACAACGCGGAACTGAAAAGCTGCTATTTGTTACATCTTTGAGATAAATAAATCATGAAGTGTAATCTCTCTGCTAGGACTCACAGTTTCAATAATAAGAATTTTGCAAGTGCCTGTAGTCGAACAGTATATTTAAGAACCTGAAATTGAAATATTGACAATGTCTACCGAGTAAAATTCATATTTATTTGAGTACAAAATGCATTTTTAAGTGTTTACTAATCAAACTGGCAGTCGTGTATTGTTGCCTATTCTTCTTAACTATCTAGTATCAGAAGTATACTGAAAATAAACTCAGAAAACAATCACATGCTACTATTCTACTATACTGACCTCAAAGTGTGGTAAATACTCAGGTCTGTGGTATGCATCAACTGAAGAGCAGTATATGTACCTGAGATTTACAATTACCATTTTCCGTTATAACCAAGTGTATAGAATACAACCGTCCAGAATTTACCTCTTTCAAACTTGTAGCATTGTTCGATTTTCTCCACCTCGAGCAAATTCGACTTTCAAAGTCCTGAAAAATTCAAATCGTGCAACTACTATATTCCAACTGATAAAGCAAGAATATTAGATAACACAGGCATTGAGATTCCACAAGGCGAAGTACATTTTACGCTTTACATTACAGAGATGAAAATAATGTCATAGTATCAAAGTAAAGGAAGCTATTTACCAAAATTAAATTAAAGAAGTTAACAAATCATTTAAAGAAAAAAGGAACACACCAAATCATTTTAAGAATTAATGTCTATGCAAAATCATTCTGATTAGTAAATCTCGAAATTCTCTTTTTTGGGATAAGGAGATCCATATGGAACTTTTATGTTGAAGAAGAACAAATATTGTTGCTTCCTGAAAACAGTACAAAGAGATAAATAAGCAGCAACCACTTACCAGAAATTTCCTTCGTTGTACCGGGATTCATACTTACTTATATTGAATGAAGAATGTTACAGTG